ACACACACACACACACACACACACACACACACACACACACACACACACACACACACACACACACACACACACACACACACACACAGCCAGACAGAAACAAAGACTCCTGTCAGTGGGGGGGTGAAATCTGCTGTGGATTACCAATAGATGACAGATCTTCCGTGCACCCTGTCTGTCTCTCAGTCTGTCTCTGGCTCTCCTTCTCTCCCTTGGATCAGTAGCAGGATGCCGTTACAGCAGTCGGTCAGTGGGAGTGTGTGAGGCATGATCACACACACAATGTGCTGTCTCACTTTCACTCAGCATGAACATTTCATTCCAAAAGGTGACACAGTTTGTATTTGTCTCCCTGGGTTTGTCTCTGCTGCCCTCTCCCTGTCACCAACGTGTACTATCTGTTTCTGTGTGTCTGTGTTTGTGACATTGAGACAGAAAGAGAATAGGAGTGTGTATGCGTGTGTGATTCTGGGTCACAGCTGTTGTTACGTTGGCCCCTCCCTCTCCCATCCCTCTAACATAACCCTCCACTGCGCAGGCCTAAGCTCATGAAGGCACATTAAAACTGCATAGTCAGCGCTAAATGAGTCCACAAAGGCAAGCAGTACAGCTTCATCACACACACACACACACACACACACACACACACACACACACACACACACACACACACACACACACACACACACACACACACACACACACACACACACACACTCTCCTGAAGCTTCTGCTGCACTACACTACATTTGCTGTAACTTAATCACACTATCAGCCTCTTATTATCAAGGACACTTGCTCATAAAGCGTGTGTGTGTGTGTGTGTGTGTGTGTGTGTGTGTGTGTGTGTGTGTGTGTGTGTGTGTGTGTGTGTGTGTGTGTGTGTGTGCAAAACTGTGAGAGGAAATTATTTATTTGGGATTTTCTTTGTTTTAGTGTTTTGAAACCGGTATTCGAAACTAATTGTTCTTGCGTTTTAGCTTTTCGCATCAAAACACCTGCTTTTGCCTCACATTCAAAAGTCTGAGCTTCCTCCCTGACAGGAAATGTGCATTTCACATCTTGGTGACCATGGCAACAGAAGCTTGTAATGTATGGCAGTCAGGTTTACGTTTCGCAAAGCGCAAAGTGAAATTTGGGGAGGAGAAAGAAATTCATATATTGTTTAAAAGCTTGGAAGGAGAAACATTAAGACATCAGTTGCCGTAAGGTCTGTCCTTCTCTCTCCATGTCTTTCCCTGCAGAGTAACTTATTAAACTGTCATTATGTGAACATCCTAGGGAAAGCCTCCTTTCTCCGTCTCAAACATGTTCAAACTTTGCACTTCTTTGTGCTGCTGAGCCTTTTAGCAACACTGATTACCTTCCCATGATAAGGTGCTTTGTTGAAGGCATGTCTGTGTGATAAGAAGCTGCGTCCCAGGTGCACTGAGTGCTCCAGATCATAAGGTCACCTTTTAAAAGCAAGAACTCCCGCTACCTTTTATTCCTCCCCCTCCCCATCCACACAGTTCCTTCTTTCCCCTGAAAAAAAAAACACCATTAGTACCCTCCTTGCTCTCCGGATGGAGAAAGGATCACAATAGCAGCAATTGATTCATAGGTACATGGCAGCTTCCTTGATGTAAAGGTATAGGAGGAGAGGGACATTGGGAGAGAAGGGGAGGGGGGGGGGGGGACACTAATGCAACCTGAAGTCAAAGCCTCGCTAATGGAGTGGTGGAGGGGAGGAAAGATAAAGCAGGGGAGGTACAGTAAGTGGTGTGTGTGTGTGTGTGTGTGTGTGTGTGTGTGTGTGTGTGTGTGTGTGTGTGTGTGTGTGTGTGTGTGTGTGTGTGTGTGTTTAACTGACTATGTGCGAGCAGAGCAGGTTAATGTCAGGTGTGTGTTCATGTGAGAAAGGGAAGCAAGTGTGTAAATGTGGAGAGATCAGACACTCAGACGAAGAGGCTTCCAGCACTTCCTGCCTCCATGGCTCGGTTGGCAGGGATCCACTTCTCCCCGGTGATTGTGTGTGTTTGTATGTGTGTGTTTATGTGTGTGTTTGTTTGGAAGAACTGCAGGATGTGAGCAGAATCTCAGCTTCCCATTAGCAGCCTCGTCCACGCAGGCTTTGGTCTCCGGCGGCAGCTTCTGTCATATTAAGGGATGCAGACGCTGAGATGAGATTCAACCAGCATGAGGAGAAAAGTCAATGTAGGACTGGGAGATGTGTGTGTAGTGGAGCAGAAATTAAATTAAAAAATATATATATATTTATATAGTACTTTTCAAACAAAGTTACAAAGTGCTCCACACATTAAATAGGCAGACACAAGCAAAATAACACAACATCATTAAAACAATAAAAAGAACGAAAAACAAGAGAATTCCTTTGTTTGTTCTAATGTAATGTAATGTAATGTTTACCACCAATCAGGCCACACACTCTGAGAGCACACTTAAAACAATATATGTTTTTAAAAGTGATGGCATACTTCTAATTTTAATCATTGTTTGTAATTGACCTTACTGATGACACCATTCGCTTAAGGACAATACAATATGCATGGCACAATCAAAGAATATCCTATGAAATCACATTTTCAACTTTCTCACCTTTCAGCCTCCAGTTTCCAGAGGTTATATAGAAATATAGAAATGTCCACTCATATTATGTTTCCTCTTGTTACTCTTATCTACATGTTATGTATGTGACAAAAAAAGAAATCGCATTGAAAAGCAATGGATTGCCTTGAATAAAAGATGTTGTTTTAAACGTTTTATGAACCCTGTCTTTCAGGCAGACCCGGGATCAGGAAACCCCTCCAGACTTCTTCTACTTCTCCGACTTTGAGAGGCACAACGCTGAGGTAGCAGCTTTTCATCTGGACAGGTGAGTTTTATCAGCTTTTTCTCCTTAAGATGTCTTTTCTGACTCATCTGTTTCTTGTCCGAGTGCGTTTTCAAATCATCCTGTCTGTCCCAGGAAGAATGACAGGTCACACAAGTCCGTTAACTTAGACGACTTTACGGAGGTGTGCCTTCACGGCCTTAAGCTGGGAAGATCTGAATGGGATTTGGAACATGAGGGATTAGATAACACACCGAGAGCTGGGATCATCTACTTTACTTGGGGCTGATTATATTGATTTCCAACTGATCCTTTTACTCTGCTGACAAGGTAAAAAACAAAACAAAAAAATTCTCAACAGAGGAACACTAAGGAGACTCTAACGTGAGTTTGAGGGGGAGGAAGATTTATGGTGCGCAGGTCGTCTTGAGGTCCTCTGAGAGTGGTGTAATTACTTTATACTCACACACACACACACACATACAGACTCTCACTCTGTGTTAGATGAGATCAGCGACATGTGTTTCTGTGGGCAGGAGGATAAATCCAAACAGGAAATCACAGGCACGCCATCACCGCCGGGACATGGTTTTACAGCAGGAGTGGGGGGGGGCTCTGTGATCCCTGAAGAGCTATTTGGATTGCTTGCCCCACGCTGAGGAATTATAGACCAGTTTCCTGACCGCAGCAGCAGCCTCTGGACACCAGTCTGAGCTTCTGCTAGTTTATGACTTCATATTGAACACGAGATGCAGAGAAGGACACTTCAACTTCCTCTGGGTACTCTTCCTCTGTAGATCTGTAGTGCATTATAAGCGCATTGATAATACAAAAATGTGGCTTTTCTGATGCTTCATGACCACATTTATAAAAACACGTAACATTTCAAATGCACATCATTCATAAAAGATTCTAGATGTGACTTATAATGAAATATAAGTATACAAACCATGAACTACATGTGGACTGATGGACTATAATACTTTACCACTACCTATACAAACCTCTACAATGGACTCCAGTAAGGATTCATAGTATTAGCTGAATTATCCTCCTGTATCATAAGTTATAATTATAATGACCTATGTTAATTGAATTTTAATGCGTTCTTAAACGTAGTATTTCCCTCTTGGTGGAAAGTGAAGTTTAATCAGTGCTACAAGTGTTAATTGTGTAGCGGTGTCCTGCATAATAATCAGTTATAATGCAGCATAAATAATGATATACAAGTCAAGAGCATTCATAAGAGACACTTGGTTATAATTAAAATCTGAAGTGAGAAGTTTGTTTATTCAGGTGCATTGTACATTCATTGTAATTCACCATACATGCCTTCAGACTGCACTATACTGTAAATTCGGTCTACACTGCACCCTTTCTTTAGTTTGACCTACACCAAGATATCCTGAACCTTTTAGAGAAAAGGCAGCATCACTGCTTTCAGTAATTACTTCTATAGCTCTGGGGTTTTGTTATCCTCTGTTCTTCACCATATTCCCATCTGTTGTGAACTCTTTGTGACTCAGCGGTGTGTAACAGGCGGAGTGCACACGAATAGATGCTCGAGTGTGGAGGAAAACACACACACACACACACACACATGCAAACGCACACACAGGTGCTCCTTTGTCACCGGGCCTCGACATGACGGTGCAGTTTTCAGATCCTGAATGCGGCCCTCTGTAGGCTAAGGTTTCTGCAGCTCCGTTCCACTCTGTGTGCACGCCGGCTCCCAGGAGGCTTAGCTTCAGTCTCAAACGGGTCAGGGTCGTTTGGACAGCAAATATACAGTGAGGCGGGACAAACAGGGCTGAATAGGTATAGTGTGTTCTGACATCGGAGCGGAAGAGAGGGAGGAGAAAAAGACAGATTTGAGATAGAGCTCAAGGGTTTGAAAAAGTGTAGAACTTACCCAACCATCCACTGGAGGGTTCAGGTGTGTTTATCTGTGTTTCAGTGTGTTGGTGCAACAGCTGGAAGGTAGACAAACACACACACACACATATTCACACATGTGTGTTTGATGCCCATTACAAACGCAGACAGAGAGCACTGTAAAGATGATTATTAATTATTCAACTAATAATTAATTAAGCAATTTGGACTGGAAACCACTCACCATTATTCCTCTGGTGAAAACCTTTTTTCTTTTTACTTTGGGCTGTATTTCTTTACAGCACAACTTATATCTTGTTGTTGACAGATAATGCAAAGAGGAACAGGTGCTTACCGTTCGCAGCTCTCCGTGTTAGCAGGAGATGCTTTGAAAATCTGCACCATCTGGGGCATCATGGGAGATTGAGCTAGAGGCGGAAGATGTTTTTTGGCTGAATCTGTTCAGGGCAAAGAGAAGTTTGGAGAAAAAAACATTGTGTGATACAGAACAAACTCAGACTTGACTTTCCAATCTGGAATACCATGAAGTCCTCTTCATTATAACCCCTCTCTTTCTGTAGGATCCTTGACTTCCGGAGAGTTCCCCCGGTGGCAGGGCGGCTTGTCAACATGACGAGGGAGATCAGAGATGTGACGCGGGATAAGAAGCTGTGGAGGACCTTCTTCATCTCTCCAGGTAGAAACACACTCTGCTGCCTGGCGTCTTCTCTGTTTGGGCAGAACGACACTGGCTTCACTTGTGAGACACGTTTGAAACAAACTCCGTACAAAGTGGGTTATGTATCTGGAGCTCAGGTTAGTCTGAGTGTCCTGATCTGCACTTCCAGGCAAAATAAATCAAGAATGTGTTGTAGCATGTGTGGCAATAAATAAGGGAATAGCCTGAAGTCACCACATGGTGGCACTGTCAGCTTTAAAACAGCTCAAAGGATTGCATTAAAGTAAAAATCGGATACAAATACTCAGATTAAAGAAAACACCCAATCCAGACCAAAAATATGTAGGGGTTTTTCTGTTACTACATTATACTATGGGATACAAGGATTTGGGGAAACTATAGGCAAATTTACAGCAGATAAACATCCAAAATGTGTGCCAAATGAAGGTTTACATTTCACAGAAGGACATTTGTCACATACTTGTAGCTTTGATAATGCTGCACAGACGATTACAAACATATCACTTGAAGCAATATGTTGCAAATATAGAGATCAGCCAGGGAATGAGGAACATGGTTCTTTATGTGAACAGAAAAAAGTTTCAGTAAAAAATTTGTTTGAACATTTAATTAATTCTCAAACAATTTATAATATATACAATTTGAAATAAATGCTCCGTGTTTGAGCATCCAGCGTGTTCTGATCGGTTCACACGCTCTCATAGGAGGACCTATGCTTCTCTTTGATTGTGATGTACGATCAGGTCAGCGCTGTGACCCGTGTCCGACCGGCTCCTGAGATTACAAAACCTCTACCACGCTGATGTTTCACTGTCGAGCTCTCCTCCCCTCGAGGTCTCCATGTTGGCTTCCTCCTTCATGTTCAGCCACAAAGCCAATGTGCAGACCGCTTCTTCTTTGACACCTTTTTTAAATCAGTGTGTTTTTATTTCCTCTCCTCAGCCAACAACGTGTGTTTCTACGGCGAGTGCTCGTACTACTGCTCCACTGAGCACGCGCTGTGCGGGAAGCCGGACCAGATCGAGGGCTCGCTGGCGGCCTTCCTGCCCGACCTGAACCTCGCCAAGCGCAAGACCTGGAGGAACCCCTGGAGACGCTCCTACCACAAACGCAAGAAAGCAGAGTAAGGAAACCAACATGATTACTGTGACTACTGTACATATAGATATAATTATGTTTTAAAGGTCACCTATTATGCAAAATCCACTTTTCCATTTCTTTTATACATGAACATGTGTCCTCTCTGTGTAAAGAGATTCTGAAAGTTTCAGGAAAAAAGATTTGCTCACTTTTTGTCCTGATTCATTTATATAAAAACCTGTCTGAAAATGAGCTGATCAGATTTTTGTCACTTTATGATGTCATCACGATGTTTTGGCTTGTGTAACCATTAGCCAATCCCTCAGTATCTCTCAGAGGGGCGTGGGGAGGGGCTCCTTATTTTTCATTTAAAGTAACAGACAGAGAATCAGCACTTTTGAAACAGGGCTGAAACAGAGGGGTTTATGGGATGCTACAATAATCTGTTTGGTATTTGGAGCCAAACACTTCAGAGACGTGTTTTGTATATAACTGAGACCCATAATATATTGATGAAAAACAGTATAATAGGGGACCTTTACAAATATATGTTTGTGTTCTCAGGTGGGAGGTGGACCCAGATTACTGTGATGAGGTTAAGCAGACTCCTCCATACGACCGAGGCACTCGCCTGCTGGACGTCATGGATATGACCATCTTTGATTTCCTAATGGGTAAGAGTTTTTAAACTATGGCATCACATGTTGATATGTCGCATTTACAGATTAAAAAAGGGCATCATTATTTCTTGAAGTCCCCTCAACACTTTGCTCTCTCCTGGTCCAGGTAACATGGATCGTCATCATTACGAAACTTTTGAGAAGTTTGGAAATGACACCTTCATCATTCACCTAGACAACGGAAGAGGGTAAAAACAAGTGTCTGTGTTATCAACCACTGAATCTGTATTCACTGTAACAAACAGTCGCTGTCTGCTGTGATGATTTCTGTTTCCTTATTCTGATCTTTATTGCCTCCCTTGTAGGTTTGGAAAACACTCCCATGATGAGCTGTCCATCCTGGTGCCTCTCAGTCAGTGCTGCAGGTTTGTTGGTGAATTAAAAACTCCATTAAGACCAGAGCCATGTCTCAACATATACAGAGGGCATGGACACACTTTAAGAGTACTAGCACTGCCCTTCAGGCCTCTCAACTTGAGTCACAAACCTAAAACCTGTACAGAAATGCTTTGATGTCAATTTTTTCTTTCTTACCACGTCATTGCATTTGCATTAGCACCACTCTATGAATAAAGTTTACTTTTTTAAAGTGGACCTATCATGCTATATTTGAAACATATATTGTAGGGCTATACCTATACAAAACATGTCTGTGAAGTTTTTTTTTCTAAATACCAAACAGATCATGCATTTTAGCCATGCCTCATTTCACT